CACCTGCTGCATGCCCCCCACTGGGGATCGGGCCCACAACCTGGGCATGTGCCCTGACCGGGAATCGAACCGGCAACCTCTTGGTGCATGGGCCGATGCTCAACCACTGAGCCACACCAGCCGGGCTGCTCTATTATATTTTAATTGAAATTAAATATTCCTCTGAGACTACATGTTGCCTGACTGGTAAGAAATTCAGTTTCAGTCCTTGTTGGGCTCTCCTCAGCTTCCCAGCATCAAACAAAATTTCAAAATATTTACAGAAACAGGAGAGGGGCTTCCAGTCTTCAGCGCAGCACCATTTTTGCATTATCCTCATCATCCAAGCCCCCCCAAATTACTAGAAAGGAGCAGGTCCACTGCGAAGTGAGGCATCTGTGGTCTGTGCCCAGGTGGAACCCCAGTGCTCAGGGCAGCAGATCCCTCTTCCCCAGAGGCCCTGCCACTGGCACCTGCTGCTTGTGGGCTCCTCAGACCCTTGGCCTCTTCCTCATTTGGAGGAATCTTCTCTCTGTGTCTTCTTCCTTACAGAATGTCCCCCTAGGATCTCTGGCTTAGGAAATAGTAGCCAGAAGGGCAGGTTAAGTCTGCCAGCAACTTGAGCTTCACAGCTCTTTTGGGGGAGTTTGTACAACTGGGTACCTGTGTGGAGTGGGGACAGGGAAAAGACAGAGCCCCAAATACAAATGAATATAGCCATCAATTGTCCTATATATCTACTATTAATAAATGACAAATGTGCCCAGCCAATGTGACTCAGTGATTGAGCATCGTCCCGTGGACTGAGAAGTCCCAGTTCGATTCCTGGTCAGGGTGTATGCCTGAGTTGTGGGCTTGATCCCCAGTAGGGGGCATGCAAGGGGCAACCACTCAATGTTTCTCTCTCTCTGAAAAATCAATTAAATAATTATTTTAATCCTCACCAGAGGATATTATTCTATTTATATTCAGATAGAGTGAGAGGGAGGGAGGGAGAGAGAAAGAAACATCAACATGAGAGAGACACATCGACAGATTGCCTCCTGCATGACCCTGACCAGGGCTGGGGACGAATTGCAACCAAGGTACATGCCCTTGACCGGAATCAAACCTGAGACTCATTGGTCCACAGGCCGATGCTCTAACCGCTGAGCCAAACCGACCAGGGCTCAATAAAAATTGTTTTCTAAATGACAAATGTTACCGAGTGTTGCTCTCTGCTGATACAGACGATCAAATTTAATTCTCAAAACTTTGCCATGTTTTAAAGACAGATAGCTGAGGCTTAGACAGTTTGAGTGACTTTCCCAGTAGTAAGTAGCAGAACTGGGATTAGAACCCAAACCAAATCCAAAGTCAAACCCCTATGTTATATTTTTTTTTCCTGAGGGATACTGGTAATCTATTTTTTAATTAAATTTTTTTTCAAAAAATATAAAATATTTTTAATTACACTTCAATTGCATTTATTATATTTCTTTCAGGCGTACAACATAGTGATTAGACATTTATACAACTTACGAAGTAATCACCCGAGAAGTCTAGGGGTACTAGTAATATTTTATTTTGAGCACAGTGAGCTGCCAGGATAGGTTAGCTGCAGCGTGAGCTCCCAGATAGCTCAGTGAATTCATCCATGGAACACCATGGCTCAGAGTCCTCCATCTGGTTGTCAGAGTGCATTTGCCAAGACCCAAGAACAACAGTGCTGCTCCGGGTGTAATTAATGTTTAGACAATAACTGGTCAGCATGTTCAGCTGCTTCTTGAGGTCACTCCTGGGATATGAAAATAGGACCCTGTATTGGCATAAACAGGATGTTTGTTTTCTGTGTGCTCTGTCAGGAGGCCATTAACTCAGTCATCCAGAAGTTATACCAAATTGCTCAGGTGCAGGTTCAAAAGGGGGGCGGAATATAACCCGGCCTAGTTTTGTGTTGTTTAAAATAGAAAATTGACGGATCTGAAATCCATTTCTGCTCAATATGATTCTTGAGGTAGTATTTTAGTCGAGTCCTAAAAGAACATTTAAAGTCTGAGATCAATTTTTAAATTGTAGAGCTAGGCCCATAAATGATTCCTATTTATGAAGTCAAAAGCTAACACAGTGAATCAATACATAACATAATCATTATGGCCCTACCCCTGCCTCCCCACCGACAGCTGGGCGTGATGGGTGATCCAAAACAGGCTGGGCTCATTAGCCAAGATGTTCATAATATGCTTCAGGGGCTTTCAAATGTTTTATGCATCAGAACCTTCCCTGAAGTGTGTCAAAAACAGAGCTGCTTGGACCCCACTCCATACCCCGTGTCTTAGGTCCTTCGGACTGCTTTAACAACATACCGCAGACTGGGTAGCTTGGAAACAACAGAAGTTTATTTCTCATGGTTCTGGAGACGGGAAAGCCCAAGATCAAGGTGCCAACCTGGTCTCCTTCTGATGAGGGCCCTCTTCTCAATTCATAGCCGGTGACTTCTCCCTGTTTTCTTACATGGTGGAAGGTTCTAGGGAGCTCTCTGGAGCCTCTTTTATACGGCAGTAATCCACCCTCATGACCTATGTACCTCCAAAGTGCCGACCTCCAATGTCATTACCTTTGAAAGTTAAGATATCAACATATAAATTTGGGGGGACACATTCAGACCATTGCACCCACTGAGTCAAAATCTTGGGGTATGGGGCCCACTCATCTTTATATTTAACAAGCTCCTTAGATGATTCTGATACTCATCAAGGTTTTCAAGTCAGCCATGTGGCTGATGGTGTTACAGTAATGTAAACCACCACCAGTTTTCTCTATTGTATTGTATTCTATACGTGTCTATACAGCATCTCAGGAAGTATGTATAGGAAATATATAGGCATACACATATGTATCTAGAGATACACTAGCATCTTGTTTGCATGTATGGTGTTGAAATGTGCCTGCAGATAAATATATATCTATTACTTTAAATCATTGTAAACATTTATTGAGTATATATCAGGCACTGTTAAATCAGTCGACAAAAATTTGTTAAGAGCCTACTATGGGCCATCAGAAAATGAAACAGTCAAGGTTGCAGTTTGTCCCCGGCCCTGGTTGGTCGTGCGGGTGGCAGCCACTCGATGTGTCCCTTTCACATCGATGTTTCTCTCTCTCTCTCTCCCTCCCACTCTATCTGTACAAAAATTGGAAAAATGTCCTCGGGTGAGGATAAAAAAAAAAAAAAAAAAGAAAAAAGAAAATGAAACAGTCAAAAGTCCCTGTCCTCAGGCACCTTATATTTTAGTAGAGGAACACCAACCATAAACAAAATTAAATAAGACGAATATCTGATAACAAGTGCCATAGCAAGAAGTGAAGTGGTGGTGGCAGGACTGCGAGTGAGGACAGGGAGTGAGCCCTATGGATATTTGGAACACAGCTGTTCCAGGTTTGGGGAACAGAAAGTGCAAGGCCCAGTGGCTTCCGGAGAAGGCAAGGAAGCGAGGGGGCTGGAATGAAATAAAAGATGCAAAGAGGCAAGGAATGGGTGGAGTTGTGGATCTTGGAGGAGGAGCCTGTAGGCCATGGAAGGAGTTTAGCTTTTACTCTGCGGGAGATGGGAAGAGTTCTGAGCATGGGAATGACACAGTGTAACAGGTTTAAACAGGATCATTCTGGCTCATGAGAACAGGAGGTATGCAAGGCTGTGCTGGCTCTGTGGCCAGATTTGGTCCTGGATATGGCTCATAATTTGGTTCCAAGAAAATGATCACATTTTTAAATCCTCATCCAAGGATATGTTTTATCCATTTTGGAAAGAGGAAGGGAGAGGGAGAGGGGGAGGGGAGGGGAGAGGGGGAGGGGGAGGGAGAGGGAGAGAGAGAGAGAGAGAGAGAGAGAGAGAGAGAGAGAGAGAGAGATAGAGAAAGATCAATCGGTTGCCCCTGTATGCACCCTGACCAGGGATCAAAATCCAGCCTAGGTAGGTGCTCTGATTGGGAATTGAACCCGCAACCTTTTGGTGTATGGGACAACGCTCCAACCAACTGAACCACCCAGCCAGAGCTCACAGCTCACATTTTTGTTTTTAAAACATATCTTATACACTTAAAATTTGTAAATTTATTGTGTGTTTATAATACCTTAAAGAAAAAAACCTCATTTCAAGAAGCATTTGGGGTAGTCTGACCTACTGCAGTAAGACCCTTACTGGGTTATTCTGGTAAATAGGGACTGTACCCACAATGGCATTTCTTCCAGATGTGTAGTAAAGCTCAAGAAAGCTGCTTTTGCCAACAAAAAATATATTCTGAATAGGATAATGAACAGTATTTATTGCTCCATTTGTTTCAAAGCACTTTGATGTCAGTCCTCTAAAAATCCATTCTAAGGCTGACAGTAGAGGTTATCACTATCCCCACTTGAGGGTTCAGATCTAGAAAGAATAAGATGTGGGAAGGATGAACTCTGCTAGAGAAGACCGTGTTTTTATGACTTTCTCCTCTTGGTTGTGTGGCCAGATGTACAGTGACTGGTCCTCAGTCCAGGGAACAGAACTATGCTGGTGCATGTGCACACGTGTACATGCGTGGGAGTCACACTTGGGTTACTAAGTACAATGATCTAGTAAAGAAATTGGAACTGATCATTCAAATCTTCTATAATTCAGGACTCTTGATTCCTCTCCTCTCTCTCTCCCTTCTCTGTCTCTTCATTTGATCATTTTATTTCTAAATAGTCATTTTCACTGAAGGATGGGATAGGGAAATAGAAAGATAATGAAAGTCACATTAGTAGTGTGGAGAATAATTTTGATAAAAGCCACAGTGGAGAATGCAGTTGTAATTAGCACTAAAATGAAATTCTGATTGCTGGTGGATTTCAGCTTGCTTCACTTTCCTGATCCTTTGTTCCTGTATAACACTGAGTTCGATTATGCAAAGCACCTAGCGAGACAGAGACCGAGCTGCTTTTGTCTCGCTAAAGAAGCCGTGTCTGTCCTGGATGGCTGTGAGCAGGGCCTGGGCATTTAATGCACTTGCTTGTTTCAGTTTGCAGTGACGACCTTACCCACAAATTCAAAGGTTTTACCGTGATGAATGAAGCCGAGAGATATGAAGCCCTCAGACACTGCCGCTATGTAGACGAAGTCATCAGAGATGCTCCATGGACACTCACGCCAGAGTTTTTGGAAAAACACAAGGTATTTATTCTTCCCTGTTCTCTAGCAGAATTAGGGAGTCTGGCTCTGCAGCCAATACCCAGAAAGCCCAAAGACTCTTCCAGTTTCTAAAAGAGGTAACTTCAGAAACTGTCATTTGGTGTCACTTGATGTCGCCCCTCTCTCCTCTCCAACCCTGGGGACAGCTATCCTCTCACTTCTTCATTGTGGGCTCTGGAGCCAGACCAGGTCCAATTATGGCCTCTGTCCTCCGTAACCTTGAGCAAAACATTGAACTCACTTACCTAACCAGTAAAATGGGGTGATACCGGTGCTTTCCTCATAGGCTGTTTTGAGAATCTAATGAGTTCATCGGGGCAAAACCCTTGGAACACTGGCTGACTCATAGCAAGAGCTCCACCACCACCGCCATCATCATCATCACTACCACCACCACTGTCATTATTTGTGCTTAGAGATTCACAGGCATAAATTTTCATGGAAAAAATGAACACATCTTATCCAAAAGTGCAGGGGTCAGCCTTTAAGGGAAAAATTTTATATCTATGATTTTGTGACCCTGAGACTCCTACTGATATAAGATTTGTATTAGTTGAAAACATGAGAAATTCTTTTGATTTGCATCAAATTATGTGCTTTGTATCTCCCTACCAGCCCCACATTAGGAGCTATTCTTTCCTTTTATAAGCAGCACAAAAAAATAAGATTAAGCTGTTCTAAGAGTTTTCTTGTCTATTTTTAAATTCACAATGGAGAAGAGAATAGAGAACACTGATAAATGTGCATCGGTAATAGCAGAGGAGACAATTTCCCAGCAAGAATAAAAAGAAAAAGGAACTACAATATGATTTACTTCCAGCAATCACTAAACGTTTTTACTAAGCATCTATTGTATATTCAACTTGGGCTAGGCATTATGGAGGTACTCGTGATGGTGATGGCCGCCACTTACGGAGTATTCACCAGGTGCCCAGCCCTGTGCTAAGTGCTTTGCTCTTGCACAAATTGTATTCAATTTCATGGCTACCCTGAGAAGTTGTTGTTATTGTTATTATTATCCACTGGACAGAAGGAGGAACTAAGTTTGAGTACTAAGAATAGAATAGTAATGACTAACGTTTATTGAGTACTGTATACCGGTTATTATTTTTAAACACTTTAACATAATTATATCATTTAATCCAGTGATTCTCACGTGGGGAGGGGGTGAGTTTGCTCCCAAGGGACATTTGGCAATGTATGGAAATATTTTTGACTGTCACAACTGGAGGGTGCTACTGGCATCTAGTGGGTAAATGCTAGGGATGCTACTAAACATCCTGCAGTGTACAGGACAGACCCCTTCTCCCCAAAAAGGAATTATTAGGTCAATAGTCACTGATACTGAGGTGGAGAAATCCTGATTTCACCTTTACCACCAGTTTATAAGTTATATGGCTAGTCAGTGGTGGGGGGGGGGGCAGGAATCATATCCAGGCAAACTAAACTGCTATGCCGAACTACCTCTCAAGATGGAGTGTAGGTGTGTTCTAAAAGGCTTTGAAAGCTAGGCAAGGAGGTTTCACTTGATCTAATAGGAAACAGGGAAGTAGTGACGATCAGCAGGCACAGGATGATGAAGAGAAGATTCTGTTTAAGGAGGGTCCCGCATATGACAAAGGAATGACTTAGGAACCTGCAGTGAGGAAGGTCAGGTAAAGTTGGTATCAGTAATCCAGATGACAGGACCCTGGATTAGTGCAGTAGCAAGAGAGAGGAAGTGAGGCCACTTCCGAGGTGTTTGGGGACTAGGTGAACTGGGAAAATGGAGGTGCCATTGGAAAGGGACACCAGGCCCTGGCCGGTTTGGCTCAGCAGTTGGAGCCTCAGCCTGCGGTCTGGAGAGACCCGGGGTTCGGTTCCCGCTAAGGGCGCGTACCTCGGTTGCAGTTTGCCCTGGCCCTGGTTGGGTCATGTGGGTGGCAGCCACTTGATGTGTCCCTTTCACATCGATGTTTCTCTCTCTCTCTCTCTCTCTCTCTCTCTCTCTTTCCCCCTCCCTCCCTCCCTCTCTCCCTCCCTCCCTCCCTCCCTCCCTCCCTCCTACTCTATCTGAATAAAATATCGAAAAGTGTCCTCGGGTGAGGATAAAAAAAAAGGAAAGGGACACCAGTTTTCAGGATGAATTCAATTCCAGACAGGTGAATTTTAAAGTGACAGTGAGGGGTAGCAAAAGAGAAAAGGGTGACTTTGGGCAAATCTGACAAGTTTTCCAGATTCAGCAGCCTTATATTGTGACTGAAATAAAAATATGTGCCCTACCTAATCACAAGGTGGTTATGGATATCAAATGATAAAAGAGACTAAATTCACTCATCAGACTAAATTTATTTTCATAACACTTTATAAGACAGGACTTAAGTGTGAGGGCCTATTGCCATCGATGGGATGGAAATGGAGACTTGTGTTCCTCGTCATAGCAGGGGTGACTAAAATCTGAAGAATCAATGAATCCTTGAAAGGACAAAGTTTAGAGGCAGAAAAACAGAAAGCCAAGAAACCCTACCGTCACAGGTAGGAGAAAGAGGAACCAGGAAAGGAGAGAAACCAATTTAATTCTCATTCATGGAAATGGAGACAGTTGGAAACACCTTTCAGTCAAGGATTCCAATCCGCGTTATAAACTGCTGGTTTCAACTGCTTTTTTACAGCTGCTCTGTTTCAAAAGGGCAATTTCAAATCGCAGACAGGCATGTCACCCCAGTGGTAACGTCACTTCTCTCTCTCTAACAGATTGACTTTGTGGCCCATGATGACATTCCATACTCTTCTGCTGGCTCTGATGATGTTTACAAGCACATAAAGGAAGCAGGTGAGGAATTCTGGGCTCCCCTGTCTACTGCGGCACAACCATCAGGTTTAATGAGACATCTGCCCTAGGTCTCCAGCGCAGACATACAAGTTGGAATTTCAGAGGTCGCCCAAGTAGTCTTTACAAGGCTCTGTTCACAGGTGCTAAATGGTACAGACACCAGTTAGATATTTATATAGGAATTAACCAGAGCCCCAAAGTACTGAACTTCCCATTTGAGGCATGATTTTAGAGTTCATCAGACTAAAATCACAGGACCCTATGTATTAAAGGGCAATCATTTTCCTCATTCACAATAAAGTCTTCACAATGGAATTATTTAAAAAAAATTTTTTTTTCTTTATTGATTTGAGAGAGAGAGGAAGGGAGAGGGAGAGATAGAAACATTGATGAGAGAGAACATTGATTGGCCGCCTCCTGCATGCCCCCCACTGGGGATCGGGCCCACAACCTGGGCATGTGCCCTGACCGGGAATCGAACTGGCGACCTCTTGGTGCATGGGTCGACACTCAACCACTGAGCCACACCGGCCGGGCATGAAATTATTTTATACTCCCAAGAAAGTTCCTTCCAGAAGAAGACAGATAAGTGGCTAATTAACAACCTGGACTCCTTGTCTGCAAAGTCAGTCCTGCCATATGTCATCTTGTCACATGATGATAATATCCTCAGGTTCCACATGCAGCGGCCAAAAAAGAATGGATACGTATTTGTAGATTCAGGTAAAATATTTTCCACCCCAAACTGTTAAGTGTTGTCGTGAAGGGCACACATGGTGCCTGAGCTTTGGAAGTCGTCCCATTTGTCACTAAGCATTTCTGTTAAGATCAGAGACTGGTCAGCTCCAAGGAGTTATTGGGGAGGGGGGATGGAGAGGCCGGTTTCCTACTACTGCAGACTCCCTGGGGTTAATTCCTTCATCAACTTCTCTCTTGTTACTTCTATGCTGCTGGATCACTGCTGGGGATTCGTAACAGATCTGTGGTTTCTAGACTCAGCAGGATTCTCAGGGATCCTTGGTGACATTTACCCCCTCGTCCCCCCCACCCCCGCCCTACCGATTTACCTGTAATTCGTGCATTCTTGCCTCCTCTCCTGCACCCTGAGGAAGAGGGTACATTTTGTGTCCCAGGCTAACCTCTTTATCTGAGCCTACCTTCTACCTCCTTCCTTCCCTGGAGCCTGTTTTCTTTCATTCTTCTTCCTCTCTTTGATCTCCAAGGTTCTCACTCTCCGGTAGTTTATTCTCAGCTTACAGTCATGTGCAAGTCTACCAAAACAAACCGAAATCCTTCCTCTACTCTCCTCCTTCCCTCCTCCTCCAGTCACCTCTTTGCTCAGCCCTCCCTTTCCTGGCAAGTTGCAGGCACAATCCCGTCATTCCTCGGCCACCTGCACTCTGACTTATGTCCATCCTTCCTCAGTTCTGCAATGACCTTCGAACCACCAAAAACAGTGGCCTCATTTCAGTCCTCCTCAAGGTTATAATGACCATGCTGACCATTGTCCTTTCTTAGATGCTTTTGTGTACTTCTGGGACCTTCTAATTTCCCTTTGTTCTCTCTGACCGACTGCTCCTGGTTTTGTCAGGTGTCTGTCCCTCAGCCCTGTCCAGCTTCTCCGTCTCACCAGCCTGGGCTCTGTACACCACCTTCCACGGGCCCTACAGCCCAGGCACACCCTGTTTAGCTCCTTTACTCTGCTGTTCTCTGAGCTAGGAATGCCCTTCCTCTGAGCTTCTATGCCTATTCCAGGCCCAGCTACAGAGCCAGCTTAGATATACCCCTCCTCCCTGTCCTCCTTGGATGCTCATTGCATGTGAATCCCCCTTTCAGCTCCCTTCTCATGTCATCCTGATGGCTTCTTGGTGTGTGTCCCTAGCATGAATGAGGTGCCACAGGGCACGGCCATATCTCATCCATTTTTGCATCCCCAGCACATGTGCCTGGTACATTTGTGGTATGCATCCATGCTGACAGAACAAGAGTACTTTTATGGAGTATGATGGGGAGTTAGCTTAAGATGGAAACCTTCTATCTGCAAAGCTTTTTCCCAACACATGGGGAATGGAGCCATTTTTAAAATATTTTTTTTCATTGATTTTTAGAGAGAGAGGAAGGGAGAGGGAGAGATAGAAACATCGATGAGAGAGAACATCAATTGGCTGCCTCCTGCACGCCCCCTTCTGGGGATCAAGCCACAACCTTGGCTTGTGCTCTAACTGGGAATCAAACCTGCGACCTCTTTGTGCATGGGACGATGCTCAACCAACTGAGCCACACCAGCCGAGGTGAATGGAGCCATTTAGATAATTTGGCACACTTCTGTCCTGTGGACTTTTTCATATTATTTAGATATATAGGGGTGATATTTTGGTCTGAATTATATGGACTTTGGATCCAATTTGTTTGCTTTTCATTGGTATCTTGGCTCTGAGTCCCTCACACACCCTTTTACTGAAGGAGATGCTGACCACAAAATTACAGGCATACTTGGAAGATGTTTCAGTTTGGGTTCCAGACCACCGCAGTCAAGTGAGTACAGTACTCCAAACCATCCCAGTCTCCCGGCCCAGCAGAACCTCAGTGAGAGATGGCAGGGCTTGCAAATTGACTTGTTTCAAAAATGACTATGATCTGAATAAAAGATCTTTAAAATTATATCTATGAATTTGCATTTTTCTTGCTCTAATTATAACAGGCAGGAGAATATAAATCACAAATCACAGGTGCTTTTTTGGGCAAATGTATAATGGAAAAATAGTCTCTGCTGTACACTCACTATCCAATACTTGTCATTTTTTCTGAGCTGAAGTTTTTAGTCAATGTCACAGAGTTTAAAATAATCACCTAAGAATTAAAATAGTCATTGCTTGGATTTTTTTAAATACCCTGCCTCCCCAGATTATACCCATTTGGATTACTTAAAAAGACAGATGGGGAAAAGGTAATTACTTCTATCCTCTTATGGGGTCAGATGGCTTTTCTGACCCTAAAAACGGAGATATTCAAGATGGAGGGGGCAGTATAGGAACCAGAATTACTCAACTTTTTTTTTTTTTAATTCCTCACCTGAGGATATTTTTCTTCTTATTATCAGATAGAGTGGGAGGGAGGGAGGGAGACAGAGAGAACCATCAACGTGATAGAGCCACATCGACGGGTTGCCTCCTGCACGACCTGACCAGGGCCAGGGATGAACAACAACCGAGGTACATGACCTTGACCAGAACTGAACCCGCAACTCATTGGTCTGCGGGCCGACGCTCTAACCACTGAGCAAACCGGCCAGGGCATCAGCTTCTTCATCTCCCTTCCTTCATCAGACCGCCTTCCATAAACCTCTCTTCAGCCTATTGCTGCATGAGAGTCTTGAAGCAGGGAAGAGTAAGGAAGAGGTGGGCTGGAATTGGCGGTTTAGCTAGAGGTAGGTGCAGAAGTAGCTTTTTAATGTCTTAGTTTACTTTCTGCTATTTTTATTTTCTATCATACACCTCATCTATAGATAGGCGCTGTAGATACATCTATGCATACCTTCCTACATACATTAAGCCATTATCTGGCATGATACAGATACACTAGTGAATTACCATATGCTTTACTTAAGAATTTCGAGAAGTCTCATACACCACATATTGTACTTGAGCTGCCCCTATTGCTGACATTTGCCATCAGAATCCTCTTCCTTGTTCTTGGGGGCCATTGGAACTGAACCCATGTTGGTCCCGCCATCTTCAGGTTGGCATGGGGCCTCTGTGAGACCATTTCCTCCCAAAGTTTCTGTAGGTAAATAGGGTGCCAGCCCCTCTGCTCTGGGCTTTCTCAGGGGGTCTCTTCCCTGTCCCTGGGTTTGAACTTGAGTGGGGGACAAGGGACTGGCCCTGCTCACATTCCCTGACTTCACTGCTTGCCTCCTGATCCCTCTCTGGGCTCTTTTCCCATTCCAGGGCTTATGGTAAAACATTTCTTACCCTGCGTTCACTCAGCCTTTGTTTGTTTTTTAAATTAATTAATTGATTTTTGTTACAGATGTTTCTCCTTTTCCCCCCACTGATTCCCCCCTCTTCCCCCCCTCCCCGCCCTGTCCCCAGGTTTGTTGTCCATGTTCATTGTTCATGCATACATGCATATAAGTTCTGTGGTTTATCTCTCCTCCACCATCCCCTCTTCTGAGGATTGTCATTCAGTACCCCACTTCCACGTCTCTAGGACTACCCCATTCCTCAGACTGTTATGTTCATTATATTCCACAAATAAGTGAGATCATATGATATGTGTCTTTGTTTGGCTTGTTTTGCTTAGGATAATACTCTCTAGGTCCCTCCATGTTGTCTCAAAGGATAAGAGATCTTTCTTTCTTTCTTTTTTTTTTTTAATCCTCAACCGAGGATATTTTTCCACTTTTTGTTCAGATAGAGTGGGAGGGAGAGAGAGGAAAAGAGAGAGAGAGAAACATCGATGTGAAGGGACACATCGAGTGGCTGCCACCCGCACGACCAACCAGGGCCGGGGACAAACTGCCACCGAGGTACATGCCCTTAGCGGGAACCGAACCCAGGTCTCTCCGGACCGCAGGCGGACGCTCCAACCGCTGAGCCAAACTGGCCAGGGCAGATCTTTCTTACAGCTGCATAGTACTCCATGGACACTGCTGGGGTTTAGAAACCCCTTTTCATCGTCCTCAAAGCCTGGCTCTTTCAGGTGAAGGCTTTACCTTTCATAACTATTGTTTTTGAAATGAGCCTTCACAAGGGCCTGTTTTAGAAGTCAAAAGCTAAACACAGTCCACTGGATTCCTAGCTCCATCTACCTTCCCTTGAGGTGGGGAAGCTCCATGCTGCCCCCAGCAGGGCTGGTGGCCAGTTCTAGCCTGTGCTCTTAGAAAGGGTTCCCTCAGCGGTCAGGCGCATTGGGTAAGAATGGGAGGCCTGACCTTCTCAAACACCAATCTTGTTTGACAGCCAGTGTGGCTCAGTGGTTGAGCATCGACCAATCTTGTT